GTACCACTTATTTAGGACGCTTCTCTGACCAGTCCAGCTCTCACTTCTCTCTCTTTTTGAACACGTGACCTGTTAAACTGGTCCTTCACCTCATTCTATGCATGTCCTGTCTCCCCAGCTAAAATCTAAGCTCTGTGAGGGAGGGGCTCTGCATTCCCTTACGCACAGTAGGTGTTCAGTAAATGTTTATGGTGCCTGTTACTGTGGATGAGCGTATGAAGTCCTCTTCCTCCTATCTCCTCCGAGAAACCATGCCAAACTCAGATACCTTTGCCCTTTCAAGGCTATGGCCAGACCATACAATCCCACAGGGCATTCCACCCCTCACTCAGCCCCCAGAGAAATGTGGTTCAGCATGACAGTCCATAGACACATTCCAGTCTGTTGAACTGACCGTTCTGGCCCAGCTCTCTGCCCATGTTAGTAGCAAAATGATTTTATAGATTCTCTACACTCATACCTGGGAGTTCTAAGACCAGAATCAGTAGCTTCTTATTTATAGTTTCAAATCTACCTGGAACATTTTCCATAGGATTGCCAGAATAAGTCGTTTAGCTGAGAAGTTAATAGGATGCTTTCAGATCTTTGGAAATGTGTGATTATACACACATTTGCATGTATACATGTCTCTCTATATGTGTGTATATGTACATATTATTACATTTTAATGTCATCTCATAATGTCCTCTTCTGTTTTTATGTTAGTCAATGATTTATTTTTAATTATAGCTTTCACAGAACATATAATTTTCAGTCACAGCTTTGATGTGTTATTTGTTATGTCTGTATTAGACTACTTAAAAATAATAAGTGAAGAGGTTAAAACTCTAAAGGTAATTTTAAAATCTTGTTTTCTGTATCAGTGCAAGCTTTACTTTTTTCTTTTTACTTGAAACCTTACCATTTCTTCAATAATTCAATGTACTGTTGGCAAACTCTAGATGCCACCAGAAGTTGTCCCCTGAAAATTTACATTTCTCTTATTTCCTCTATTAATTTATAAACACTCTGAGGACAGGTACTGAGATGAATCCATCTCTATATCCCTAGCAGAGTGTTGCATAAAGCATAGTTTGGGGACTGTCTGCTTTAGAGTTACATGTGGGTGATTGTAAGTCCTACCCTGTACCAAATGAATCAGAATCTCTAGGCTTGGGATCCAAGCATCTGTATGTTTAGCAAACTCCTACATTTAACAAAATCCCCAGGTGATTCTTCTGCACCTTACATTTTGAGACCCACTGCCTTAAAGAGCAGTAAAATTCATGCCTGTTGTGTCTCAGCATCATCTGGTGTGCTTGTTAAGATTTTGATTCCCTGGGCCTTCTCCAGGCCAAAATATCTGAACCTTCAGGTCCCAGATCAGTTGGTGTGAAAGCTCTTCAGGTGATTCTGATTTTTGGCTCTCAGTACTGACTATGCTTCAGGATCACCTGTGGAGCTTTTAAAATCTATGACATTAGGCCTCATTCTCTGAGAGTTTGATGCCATAGATCTGGGGTGGGGCTCAGGCAGCATTTTCTTTTAAAGTTCCCCAGATGAAATGTATATTGAAATGTATAGCCGGGTTTGAGAGAAACTGCTTTAAACGCCCTCATTTAGGGCACCTGCTTGTGCTCATGCTTGGGTTTCTTGCCCCATATGACCATGCCAGACAAAACAGTTATAGTGAATGATGTTGTTAATGATAATGGCTTATGTCCCAAAATATTTTATAGCTGGTGTCTTCAGAGATTCACACAAGTTACTACTTGTAGATTGGAACTTCCTCCCTAGGCTATTATCTGTTTTTGGCAATCATAAACATTTGCAGGAGCTGGTGAGGGGGCAAGCTATTGCATTTTGGGTACAGAGGAACCTACTAGATTGACTCTGGCAGTCCTGCACGGACAGAGGTGGCCTGAGATGTTCTTTAGAATGTGACACCAGTGGCACTTTGCTTCTTAGCCATTAAAAACTTCTCCGTGAATGAAGTCACAACCATAAACCTACTGGTTTATCAATCAGCCCCAAGTTATTCACCAAGCACAAGGCAAGTTATACAGTAACAAATTAAATAGACTCCAGGCTCTGTCCTCCAGGAATTAGAATGGAAAGCAGATGCTATTCTCATAGGCAAAATAACATAGGGCTAATTACAGATGAATGCTCCCCAAAGCTGACTGGATAACTGAAAGGCCTGGGGAGTTCTTAAAACATAGATTCCCAGGCCCCACACAGACTGGATGGGAATCTAGGGGTGGGGCTGAGTTGGGCTCTAAAAATTATCCCCACTTTTATCAGTAATTTTGTGATTTGCCCTGGCTCCTTGATTTTCTTGGTGCTGCTTACCTTTTTACCATTTCTGCCAATCAGAGAATTGGGAGAGGCAGTCAAGTCTGCTGCCCATAAGGTGGGATACCAGGCTGAACCATTGGCTAAAATGTTCTTGGGGCTGCCACTCTGAGGGTGGGGGGAGGGGAAGAGAGGGAAAAGTTGGAATGAGGCAACATGTAGCCTGAGGAGAATGGTGGAATAAGGGAGAACATTCATTCCACAAGTGAATGAGTACCTACCTGAACGTACTAAAAGTACAGAGACTGAAGATACAGAGCTGAAAAAAATCCATTATTTTTCCTCAAGGGCTCACAGTGTAGGGGATGGACTTGCAGTTGTGCAATGATGTTGTGATAAGTGCATGATCGAGGGAGGCACAGAATAGAGTAGAAGCTGAAGAAGGAGGCTCTGGGCATTAGGGATGGCTTTCCTGAGGTCAAGCTTAGGCTGTGTCTTGAGGCATTTGATTAAGCAGGTAGATGATGGAGGGGATGAAATGCTAGGTAGCAGGAGAGCATGTACAGAAAGCGTGGGCATGTGAACTAGAATGGTATAGTGGCAGATGAATGGCAAGTCATTTGTTTTGGCTCCATCAGGGGCCCTATGTGCAGAGCATGGGAAATGAAGCTGGAAAAATCAGGGACCAAAGCATGGAGGGCCTTCCTTGTGTGCAGCTGAGGAACTTAAGTTTTATTTTGATGACAACAGGGAGGCACTGAGTGGTTTCATGCAGGGTTGGGTCATGATCAGATGTTTGCATTAAGTCCTTCGGGCAGCTGTGTGGACTGAATACTGGGGAGACAACTACAGACGGCAAGATCAGCTAGCAGGCTGTTGCTGTATTTCAACGAAATTGATGCTGGCTTCAAGTAGGCCAGAGGCAGAGGAGTCAAGTTAGCCCTTTCCTCTACTTTGTAGATTGCTGCCAGCCTATATAAAACAACCACCTCATCATAACCCTTCTTTTATTTAATAAAAATCAGTGGAGGGCATCCTATGCCTCTTTGACTGGCTAGCAGTTAGCTGTGTCTTCACAACCGGAAAAGTAGCTCCCTGAAATTCTGTGTAACGGCTTCTTGAAATGTCAAGGTATTAAACTGGAGATTTGGTATTAAACTTGCATGTCTCTGAACTGACACCATTTCTCAAGCTCCAACCCTCTATATGAACTGTCACAAAGAGTTTCACGTTATTGAACTTCTTCATCATCCGCCAATTGTCTCTCTTATCTAGACCAAATTCTACTTTAATTGAGCTCTGAAACTAGACACTTTCAAACATGCTATCCTTCCTAATCGACTGTGGTGCTTTACATAGTCTGAGTTCATTCATACTGACATTATGAGAAGACCTTCAATTAGGATATCTTATAAAGGGAGCAGGTGACAGACATTACATAAACAGGATGATAACACCCGAGGAGAGCAGAGAGAGAGAGAGAGAGAGAGAGAGAGAGAGAGAGAGAGAGAGAGAGTGTGTGTGAGTGAGAGCGAGAGAGAGAGAGAGAGGAAGTGTCTACCTTAAAAGAGGAAACTCAAGGGACATGAAGTAAGGCTAGGAAGGAATGATTGTTTCATTGGTCGCTGGGACCCATGGGAGACCTAAACCAGGATCTAATACTCTCAATTCCTTACGTCTCTGGAACGCCTTCACAAGAACAGTTTTGCCTGAGTTGTCCAGTCCAATGATAATGATGGTCACATTCCTAGAAATGGAAAATGAGCCAAAGCTTTAAAAGTACTGTTAGTTCTTAGGCCAAAGAAAAAATTATACTCTTCCTTGGTGTTTGGGGCTCTGCCTGCAGTAGTCCCAATGCAGTCATAAAAGGCACAGCCAGGTGGTAGAAGGTGGTGTGGGGACCCCTCCCCAAAGCCTCCAAGGATGCTTTTCTTCCCTGATTCACTTGCCTTGTAGAATTGGCCATCCTCCCCCAACCCTGTCCTTAATCTTGTAGACACTACTTAGTTACTTCCCCTAATAATATATATCATAAAGATTTGTTCTTTGAGGGACTGTGGGCAGGTACATTGGAGGAAATGATGGAACAGGTCTAGAGAAATAATTACAGTATTACCTTCGTGTCTCTTCAGTTGCCTTTACATGAGGCCAGCAGGAGGTCAGTATCCGGAACATGATTCAGCTTAGTTCTTTAATATTAAGGGAAACAAGTAAACAAGAAATCAGCCCCATTATTAACTCTGAACCTAAATCAGCTTATAAGTACACAGGTACTGATAAACAGGAAGCCTGGGACTGTCAGAAGTCCATTACTTCATTCTATCCAACTTTGTCTATGTCATGGAGGGACTGGTTATTGTCAACTGTAGTGGCAAAATGGGGTGATTTCTTATTAAAGCAATCCACATAGGCATGATGGCATCAGGTGTGACCTATCCCTTCAGCCATAGTTCATTCCTGTTATGAATATCTTCATGCAACCTTGGGGATGTGGGTGGGGTGGAGAGATGCCTTGGAGAAGAACCAGCTTAGAGTTCAATTGGAAGACCTGTTCTAATGAACAACTGTTCATTGGGCTTGGTTGTCTTACTGCCTGTGCTTCAAAAATGTGGGTGTTGGTGACCCACTATCAAAGATTTCATACAATTCCTAGTGCTATAAGGGATTTTAGAGATCATCTACTCTAATTGATTTCAAACATCAGTCCAGGTACCCTACTCTCAGAGATTCTCAGGGAGCAGCATAAGCTCCTCAGGTGATATCAAAGTACAGCCGTATTTGGAAGTGATTGCCTCAGTAGAAAGGGTAATTTAGACAGTCACTTCACAGTTAATCCATGTTGTAGCATGTATTAGTATTTCATTACTTTTTATGGCTGAATTATATTCCATTGTATGGATATACCACCTTTTGTTTATCCATTCATCAGTTGATGGACATTTGGATTGTATTTACTTTTTGACTCTTATGAATAATCCTGCTATATACATGTGTGTACAAGTTTTGTGAGGACATATGTTTTCAGTTCTCTTGGGTATATACCTAGGAGTGTAATTGCTCGGTCATATGATAACTCTAAGTTTAACCTTTTTAGGAAGTGTCAGATTGTTTCTACATTTTACATTCCTACCAGCAAGGCAGGATGGTTCGAATTTCTCCACATCCTCACCAACTCTCATTGTTGTATTTTTTTATAGCCATACTAGTGGATGTGAAGTGGTATCTAATTGTGGTTTTGATTTATATTTTCCTAATGACTAATTACGCTGGGGCCCAGAGCTGGGGGAAGCTCGGGTTGGGTTAACAAAGTACTTAGGCTGATACTCAGATGGGCTTTTCTTAGCTATCTGATGAGCACAGTGTATGTGCCAGCTTATCAATGAATAACATAGCAGGGTTCTGCAGAGTCACCCACTGTTTTAGAGAATTGCCATCCCCAAATAGGGACTCACATTTTATAGCATGTCTTAGAGCATAGTTCATTCCCTATAAAATCATTTGGATTCCCATAAGGACCTCCTGAAGAATAGCTCTGGCCTATGCCAGATGAAAGGGAAACCTTATATGTGGCCTGTGATCAAAACCAGCCTTACTCCAGCTTTGCTCATGAAGCTGATAAGACCTGGAGCCTGAAACACCAGAGTCTGATTGTCTGGGTTCCATGATAGCCATCTCCCTTTGAGACAAGAAGTAGCAGCTTCATGTCTACTTCCTGATAATTAGCAGAGCTTCCTAACTTGATCTCAGGCAGTCTGTATTTGTTAGTACCACTAAAAAAGGTCAAACTGGCATCACACAAATTCTTCATTAAGAACATATCTTAAAGAAGGATCATGTACCACAATGTTCATTGCAGCTCTATTTAGCCAGGACATGTAAGCAACCTAAGTGTCCATCGACAGATGAATGGATAAAGAAGATGTGGCACATATATACAATGCAATATTAGCCATAAAAAGAAATGAAATTGAGTCATTTGTAGTGAGGTGGAAGGACCTAGAGTCTGTCATACAGAGTGAAGTAAGTCAGAAAGAGAAAAACAAATACCGTATGCTGACACAAATATATGGAATCTTAAAAAAAAAAGTTTCTGAAGAACATAGGGGCAGGACAGGAATAAAGATGGAGACGTAGAGAATGGACTTGGACACGGGGAGGGGGAAGGGTAAGCTGGGATGAAGTGAGAGAGTGGCATGGACATATATACACTACCAAATGTAAAACAGATAGCTAGTGGGAAGCAGCCGCATAGCACACACAGGGAGACCAGCTCCGTGCTTTGTGACCACCTAGAGGGGTGGGATAGGGAGGGTGGGAGGGAGACAAAAGAGGGAGGAGATATGGGGATATATGTATATGTATAGCTGATTCAGTTTGTTATAAAGCAGAAACTAACACACAATTGTTAAGCAATTATACTCCAATAAAGATGTGTAAAAAAGAAAAAAAAAAGGATAAGTAGGGTAACCAAGAAGGAAAATAAATGGACTAGGAATTGCTGGGTACTTTCATTTCTAGCACCTCTCCTGGGTACTCTGGAATGAAATCACCTAAATTAAACCTACCAGATGGTGGAAGAGTAACACACGGAGATCACCTTCCTCCCCACAGATACACCAGAAATACATTTACACTTGGAACAACGCTTACATAACACCCGCTGAACGCTGGCAAGATCCAGCCTCATCCACCAGAACACAGGCACTAGTCCCCTCCACCAGGAAGCCTACACAACCCACTGAAACAACTTTAGCCACTGGGGACAGACACCAAAAACAATGGGCACTACGAACCTGCAGCCTGCAAAAAGAAGACCCCAAACACAGTAAGATAAGCAAAATGAGAAGACAGAAAAACACACAGCAGATGAAGGAGCAAGAGAAAAACACACCAGGCCTAACAAATGAAGAGGAAATAGGCAGTCTACCTGAAAAAGAATTCAGAATAATGATAGTAAAGATGATCCAAAATCTTGGAAACAGAATAGAGAAAATGCAAGAAACATTTAACAAGGACCTTAGAAGAACTAAAGATGAAACAAGCAATGGTGAACAATACAATAAATGAAATTAAAAATACTCTAGAAGGGATCAATAGCAGAATAACTGAGGCAGAAGAACGGATAAGTGACCCGGAAGATAAAATAGTGGAAATAACTACTGCAGAGCAGAATAAAGAAAAAAGAATGAAAAGAACTGAGGACAGTCTCAGAGATCTCTGGCACAACATTAAATGCACCAACATTCGAATTATAAGGGTCCCAGAAGAAGAAGAGAAAAGGAAAGGGACGGAGAACATATTTGAAGAGATTATAGTTGAAAACTTCCCTAATATGGGAAAGGGAATAGCTAATCAAGTCCAGGAAGCACAGAGAGTCCCATACAGGATAAATCCAAGGAGAAACACGCCAAGACACATATTAATCAAACGTTCAAAAATTAAATACAAAGAAAATGTATTAAAAGCAGCAAGGGAAAAACAACAAATAACACAGAAGGGAATCCCCATAAGGTTAACAGCTGATCTTTCAGCAGAAACTCTGCAAGCCAGAAGGGAGTGGCAGGACATATTTAAAGTGATGAAGGAGAAAAACCTACAACCAAGATTACTCTACCCAGCAAGGATCTCATTCCGATTTGATGGAGAAATTAAAACCTTTACAGACAAGCAAAAGCTGAGAGAGTTCAGCACCACCAAACCAGCTTTACAACAAATGCTAAAGGATCTTCTGTAGGCAAGAAACACAAGAGAAGGAAAAGACGTATAATAACAAACCCAAAACAAGTAAGAAAATGGGAATAGGAACATACATATCGATAATTACCTTAAATGTAAATGGATTAAATGCTCCCTCCAAAAGACACAGACTGACTGAATGGATACAAAAACAAGACCCATATATATGCTGTCTACAAGTGACACACTTCAGACCTAGGGACACATACAGACTGAAAGTGAGGGGATGGAAAAAGATATTCCATGCAAATGGAAATCAGAGGAAAGCTGGAGTAGCAATTCCCATATCAGAGAAAATAGACTTTAAAATAAAGACTATTACAAGGGACAAAGAGGACACTACATAATGATCAAGGAATCGATCCAAGAACAAGATATAACAATTGTAAATATTTATGCACCCAACATAGGAGCACCTCAGTACATAAGGCAAATGCTAACAGCCATAAAAGGGGAAATCGACAGTAACACATGCATAGTAGGGGACTTTAACACTCCACTTTCACCAATGGACAGATTATCCAAAATGAAAATAAATAAGGAAACACAAGCTTCAAATGATACATTAAACAAGGTGGACTTAATGGATATTTATAGGACATTCCACCCCAAAACAACAGAATACACATTTTTCTCAAGTGCTCATGGAACATTCTCAAGGATAGATCATATCTTGGGTCACAGATCAAGCCTTTGTAAATTTAAGAAAATTGAAATTGTATCAAGTATCTTTTCCGACCACAATGCTATGAGACTAGATATCAATTACAGGAAGAGATCTGTAAAAAATACAAACACATGGTGGCTAAACAATACACTACTTAATAGCGAAGTGATCACTGGAGAAATCAAAGAGGAAATCAGAAAATACCTAGAAACATATGACAATGCAGACACGATGACCCAAAACCTATGGGATGAAGGAAAAGCAGTTCTAAGAGGGAAGTTTATAGCAATACAATCCTACCTTAAGAAACAGGAAACATCTCAAAAAACAACCTAACCTTGCACCTAAAGCAATTAGAGAAAGAAGAACAAAAAACTGCCAAAGTTAGCAAACGGAAAGAAATCATAAAGATCGGATCAGAAATAAATGAAAAAGAAATGAAGGAAACGATAGCAAAGATCAATAAAACTAAAAGCTGGTTCTTTGAGAAGATAAACAAAATTGATAAACCATTAGCCAGACTCATCAAGAAAAAAAGGGAAAAGACTCAAATCAACAGAATTAGAAATGAAAAAGGAGAAGTAACAACTGACACTGGAGAAACACAAAAGATCATGAGAGATTACTACATGCAACCCTATGCCAATAAAATGGACAACCTGGAAGAAATGGACAAATTCTTAGAAATGTACAACCTGCCAAGACTGAATCAGGAAGAAATAGAAAATATGAACAGACCAATCACAAGCACTGAAACTGAAACTGTGATTAA